TAAGAAGTCCTAAACTAACGCCTAATTACAATTTCTAGTTCTTTTTCACTGGAAGAAAAATAAACATTTATTAACAGTTCACAGCTTACAAAAATCCTCCGAATACACCTGAGATCATTTCCCCTGAAATATAACCATGGTATTCACAAGAGCCAGAAAAAACAACAACAACTCACTACATAAATAAATGAAGACAATTTAATGATTTTATTAAATCATTATGATTTATTAAATCATTAATGATTTATTAAATCTGTTATTAAATGAGTTTGTAGCAGTTTAAGTACTTGGAAAGAAGTTGCAATCCAACTATCCCTCCCTTAAATATTTTCATGCTTTTATTATACATTAGAATAACATACAGAGATGGAAAACACCCATAAAACAGTAAAGTTCCTGCTATCATGGTATAGCTTCCCAATCTGGTAAGAGGTATAACAAACAAGAAGAAAAAATGAATAAAGAAGCCACATTCAGATATTGCTAAGTGCTTTGATGAAGCCTAAGCTCAAAGCGTGAGGATGTGGCCGAGAATGTGAGGGTGGAGAAGGTGCATGATGAAGTAGAGGTGGAGATGAAATATAAAGAGATCTGAATGCTCAGGGGAGGGGGAAACCATACCAAGTACGAGAGGCAGGGTGTCTTCATCGAAGGACCAGTACGTGTTTGAGTATGGAGAAAATCTGTGTTCATAACCAGAGAAAAGGCAGGCAGGGAGGTAAAGGATGGGGTTAGGAAGGAAAACAGGGGCACTTCCTCTAGGGGTTGTAGGCTATGGCAATGTGAAATTAATAAACTTGTTTATGATTCATGTGATGTCTACAGAACATGCTGATATCCACTCATCCCACATCAACTATGGGATATCAGAGACAGGCCCAATAAACATTTGATGATCATCTACGATGTGCAAAAAGCACTGATTCAGAAGAACTTTTCAAAGGGGATGTCATAGAAATCAGGAATTTAAAGTATGTTTTGTCTATAGTGATTTCCAAGATTGTACCTAAGAATATAAAAGTATTCTCACTAACAAACTCCAAAATAACAGAATAACAATGATTTCACTTTCTATATTCTCTACGCAATACCAAAGGATTGTTTTTTATTTAATTAAGATCTTGCTTTTCAACTATGGAACCCTGGAAGCACAGTAGTTAGGTGCTTCGCTACTAACCAAAAGCTTGGCAGTTTGAACCTACCAGCCGTCTCACAGTAGAAAAATTTGGCAGTCTACTTCCATAAAGATTGCAGCCTTGAGAACCCTATGGGGCAGTTCTACATTGTCCTGTAAGGTCGCTATGAAGCAGAACTCACTAGACAGCAAGGGATGGTGGTGGGCGCATTCAACTAACTTTGTGATAAGCTTCAAAAGTTATCGACTCAGTTTGAATACAACAATGGCTTCTGATCATGTCTGGAAAGGGACGTTCTGAGGTATTTTCATGTAAAACACATAAAGGTGTCTTGTATGTAGCTATGCTCAGTAACCTATAAATATCCAATGCATATTTTCTAGTTGCAATACTTGTGTGAAGACCTCAATGGGAGGGAAACCAAAATTTACCATGCCTATATAGGAGGACTTCAAACATTTACTTATGAAGATCAAAGAGCACAGCCTTCGATATGGATTACATCTCAATGTCAAGAAAACAAAAATCCTCACCACTGGATCAATAAACAACATTCTTATCAATGGAGAAAAGATTGAAGTTGTCAAGGACTTCATTCTTCTTGGATCAACTATCAACACTCGCGGAAGTAGCAGTCGAGAGATCAGACGACGTATTGCACTGGGCAAATCTGCTGCACAGGAACTTTTTAGAGTATTGAAGAGCAGAGATGTCAGCTTGAGGACTAAGGTGCGCCTGACCCAGGCCATGGTGTTTTCAATAGCCTCATATGGATGCGAAAGCTGGACAGTGAATAAGGAAGATCGTAGAAGAATTGATGCCTTTGAGTTGTGGTGTTGGAGGAGAATACTGAAAGTGCCATGGACTGCCATAACTACAAAACTCATGCTGTTTCCTTTTTTTAATCCTTAAAGTCTCCGGAAAGAAACTGTTTAATTAGTTGTTAGGTGCCATAGAGTCTGTACCGACTCATAGAGACCCTATGCACAGCAGAACAAAACACTGCCCGATCCTGGGCCAACCTCACAATTGTAGCCACACTTAAGTTCATCAATGCTGCCACCTGACCAATCCATTTCATTGGGGGAGTATTCCTCTTTTTCTCTGACCCTCCACCCTACCAAACATGATATCCTTCTCCAGCTACTGGTCCCTCCTGACAATATGTCCCAAGTATGAGAGACGAAGTTTGGCCATTCTTCCAACATGGATCTGTTTGTTCTTTTGGCAGCCCATGGCACTTTAAACATTCTCCTCCAATACCATAACTCAAAAGTATCAATTTTTCTATGGCCTTCCTTATTCACTGTCCAGCTTTCACATGTATATGAGGTTATTGAAAATACCAGGGCTTGGGTCAGGTGCACCTTAGTCCTCAAGCTGACATCTTTGCTCTTCAACACTTTTAAAAGGTCTTGTGCAGCAGATTTTCCTCATGCAATTAGTAGCATTAGTTTATTCAAAATGCCCTTCTTCTAAAGCTCTTGAAAAGCTCAGATTCATACCAGACTTATAAAAGGAAAAAGACAAGGTTTTCCAAAGATCACCTGCTCTCTGCTGAAGGGGAGTGGTAACAAAATTTAGAAAATGATTAAAAAATTTTTTTTAATTTGACAAAAATAGTGTTTTTTGATCAGAGCTCAACTAGAAGAAGAGGAAAAAAAGAGTAATCTGATACAATTTGATGAACTTGACCTATACCTATGGATGCAGTCCCTCAAAAGAGGGAACAAATCTTTACAGTGAGGATCACTCCCACCCCCTTGATACACAGGATAGACAGGGATGGGCAACTTGGACATTGGCTACCCAAAATGGGGTGGGGTGGGGGAGGCTACAAAGGCAAGAAGTGACTGGGTTACAAACTTTCAAAAAGGAGCCTAGATCTAGAGGGCACGGAGGAAGGTAGAATCTCCCTGAGTAGTATCCAATCTGTCTGGGCAGGACTGATGAAAGGAGATGGGGATAGGTCTCTTGTGATACAATAGTGAATAATTATTATCAGGACTGATTGTGAGGGTTGGAAATGTACAGGTAGACGTTTTGTAGCAAAAGGAGGGGAGTGACTAACTTTGCAGTCTAGGAGCAGAGTCCCTGGGACCATCAAGGGAGAAGAGTGGAGAGTGGGACACTACCCAGAGAAGCAGTGATGTCAGAGATGGAGGCAGAGACGATGACGTGGAGAGATGAAGCAACTGTGGTCTTTCAACCCAGAAAGGGAGAGGGGCTGTGTGGTGATGACCCAGGGGTGGGGGGTCAGGCTTGCAGGGTATAGCCTTTGGTTGTTTGATGTTGCATGGAGGGGATTGTAATCATGGCAAGGAAATGATATACAATAGGATGAATGTAAAGCTAATGTTCTCCCATGTAAACGATCACATAATTCATAATAAAATATTTTTTAAAAAATAGTGTTTTTTGGCTGGTATAAAGTATGAACGTATAGCAACAGAGGATGGGTTAAATGAGAGTACATGTTACAGAAATGTATAAGGAGAGTCCAGAAGCAGTCTACTCTCCATTTCAGAATCCTTAATCCAGTTTTATTTTTAGACAAAATTAAGGTACTCAGTCTGAATAATGTGAAAATTGGCCCATTTTGTTTCTGCTGCAATAGGCACTATATGACATAACTAGTCATAAATGCTGGTCCACAACAGCTTTTTGGAAAAGCAACTCTGAGTTTGTCTGTAGCGTTTGAGCCCTGGTGTGGTGCTGTGAGATAAGCACTGGACTGCTAACTGCAAAGTCAGCAGTTCAAGCCCACCAGCCAATCTTGGAAACCTTATACAGGTTGGCTATGAGTTGGAACCAACCTGACACACTTAACAACAACAACACTATGCTACTGCCTCGGATACTAACATGCTTTAAAATAGTTCTGCCTGTCAGCAAGATTCAGGCAGGAACTTATCACAAAAATGGCAGTGAAATTCATTAAGAAAGAGAAGAAAAACCCAATCACTTGTGTAACCATTTTATTCAATTCACACAACTGCTCACTCTGTTCTTGCTTATTTGTCTTTAATCCCAAGAATCAATAGTATTTCGGGAGGAGTCTTCCTGAGCGTTTTCCCATAAACACATTTTTTTTTTTACATGCTTGTATGGGAAACTTGTTTTTGAAAAAATAAAGCAAAAGACATATTCAATTGTCTATATTTGTGAAGAATCATGTTGAAAATGACAAATGTGTCATTTTCTAGATATTACATGCACAACTAGCAGATTAGATTTACAGATTTTAAATCACACCATCTATGTAGTATCCAAGTTTTCCCTCTTCATGTCCCTCTTCAACCCAGAGTTTATTTGGCTGGACTGTTTTCCAGTTTCAACAGCTTTAACACTATCCAAATGGACAAACATCTCCACAAGACCCTTTCTCTCCACCCACCCTACAGCGCAGAGCTGGGGAAATCTCCGCCAACTTCCCTGTTTCCCATTTCAGCCCGAAGTGGCCCCTAAACAGTGCCATTCGTGGGACTCGATGTCCCTCTGTTCTCCCGCAAATTACTTCCCCTCCTCCCTGGGTACCCTCCTCGCGAAGTGGTGTCTGTACTGAGGATGTGGAAACTGGAAGGGAGAAGGCCCCCTCGAATCCTTGGCGACCTCCTTTCCCTGGGGTACTCAATCTACTGGAGCCCACAAGAGGGAGAGAGGGGCGACTGGGGATGACCAGACACCAGAGTCCAGGGGGGCGCGATGGGTGGGCTTCCAGGTGAAGGCGACAAGTCAGATCCGGGAGGGATCAGATTCCCGACCGTCCTCGGACAGGGTGGTAGTGGAAAGTCTCTGCCGGCCGCTCGGGTCCGGGGCACTCGGTCCCCGGCTGAGGAGGGGGCGAGGCAGGGGACAGCTTACCCGCGGCGGCGACGGCGGCGAGGCCCAGCAGCGGCAGCAGGAGGGCGGGCAGGGCGGACAGTGCAGCCCCAGGCATGACGGCGGGTACGGGCGCCGAGTGCGGGCGGGGCGGAGGCAGCGGCCGGGCGACAGGGGCAGGGGTAGAGGCGGGGGCGGCGCTTCTCGGAAGCTCGGACCCCTCCCACCGTGCAGGCCCGAGGCGGGAGGCACCCGAAGAGGAGGGGTCCAACCCAGCGATGACCCACTCTGACTGGATGCCAAGGAAGGCTTGGCTCGCTGCCTCCTGTGTCTCTCTCTCTCCTTTTTTACTTTTCATTTCAACTAAAATAATTTCAGACTTTCAAAACGTTGCAAAAATAGTAGGAAAATGTCACCATCCCTCAAACAACTTCCCGAAATACTAACATCTTATGTAACCACAGCACAGTGATCAAAACCAGGAAATTAACGTTGATAGAACACTAACAGCTAATCTGTAAATCTAATCACACGTTACCGACTGTCTCTAATATCCAGGATCATGCATTGCATTCATGTGTCATACATACTGCTAGGAGTGAATTCCGACTCATAGTGACCCTGAATAGTGTTTCTAAGGCTGTAAATCTTTAACTGAGCAGAAAGCCTCAACTCCCCACCCCCTCAGCCACTGTGATCCATTTGAACTGCCGACCTTGAACTGCCAACCTTGAGGTTCCAGTGTTTATCCTTCATGTTTCCTTGGTGTGCTGTGGGATTCGTCCTGACTCAAAGCGACCTTCTACAGAGTTTCCGAGGCTATAAATCTTTACAGGAGCAGAAAGCCTGGTCTTTGGCAGAATAGCTGGTAGTTTCGAACTGCTGACCTTTAGGTTGGCAGCCCAACTCCTAATCACTACCTATGCTTCCTTAATCTCCTTTAACCTGTGACATTTCTTCTGTCCTTCCTTCTCATTCATGCTCTTGACACTTTTGAAGGGCAGTCCATTTGTAGAATCTTGCTGTGTTTCTTCAAGACTGGATTCAGGTTATGACTTTTTGGGAAGAGTAGTAGCACAAAACTGATGTGGCTTTCTTAATATGGCATGACCAGTTATATTAACTTTGATCTCATGGTTAATGTGGTTTTGCCAGATTTCTCCTTTTGATCTAATGATAAGGAAGTCAGACACTTCCTTATCAAAAGCGCCTCTGAATTGACTAAGTCCCTCGGACAATATTTGTCTGTTACTGAATCTTGGATCGAGTGTCTTTAAAATATGCATGCCTTCCAACCACGTTAATCTACAGACCTGACAATACAATTCCACAAATCAGGACCAAACAAGGCTGTTTGTTTAAGCCGTCACACAGCTTAATGTCATTGGCAGAAGAACCCTTTTAAATTGTGTTTAATCATAGTCCTATCAACTAATGAAGTAAATTAACATCAGTTTTCATGATGTGAGACCAGAAGAACTAGATGGTGCCCAATTATCATTACTAATTGCTCTGAAAAGGATCACATTAGAGGGTCTTGGATAGAATATGTAGAACAAAACTCAAAATCATAAATAATAATAATAAAGACTAGGCTTAATGGTCAGATGGAGAATAGTAGAAACCCAAGACTCTGGTCCTTGGTCACACTTTGCTCTGGATCTGAACTCACTCTCATGGATCAATTTTTAGTGACGCTGCAGGTTAATGTGCCAGACTGCAAGTCATTTGAACTGCAAGTTCTAGCTCATCAGTTCTAGCTCATCAGATGCTCCTTGGAAACCCTATACAAGGTAGCTATGGATCTGAACCGACTTGATGGCACTTAAGAACAACAACAACAACAATAGATTAGGGGAGACAATAACACTAATGAGGTATGCACACCATAGAATGGTCACCCATTAGAGTTAAAAGGGGACAGTATTTACATTGGGACAAAATGCAAAGTGCTTGGGAAAGAAGGGGGAATGAAAACAGGAATCACAGGGAGGAAGTAGGATAGGCAACGTTACATTGAGGGAATTACAATTATTGAGGTGAAACCAAGTATATGATTCATTGAATTTAAAACCGAGTATCTGCTTTGTAAACCTTCACTCAACTCACAATAAAAAGTTTAAAAAAAAATCATTACACAAATGTAGAAGAGTTACCGTAAAAGGTAAATAAAACTATACAGGTTACTGCTATCTCCCCCAAAAGATACATTGTACCTGTAAATATGCCCTTGTTTGGAAATAGATCTTTGCAGATGTTATTAGTTATCATGAAGTCATACTGGAATAAGAAAGACCCCAATTCAATATGACTCGCGTCCTTATAAAGAAAGGAGGATGCCATATGAAGAATCAGACAGAGTGGGAAACCAGTGAGGGGAAGATGGAGGAATAGATTGGAGTTAGGCTGCCAAAAACCAAGCAGTGCCTGGGACTTAGAAAATGGAAAAGGCAAAGAAGGATTCCTCCCCGACAGCCTTCAGAAAGAGGATGCCTTGCCAACACCTTGATTTTGGATTTCTAATCTCCAGAACTATGAAAGAATGAATTCCTATTGTAGTAAGTTAAAAAAAAAAGGGGGGGGGGAGTTTAATCAATAAAACTAGATGATGATTCTTTGTAAAGATCAACAAAGTAGACAAACCTTTAGTTAGTCTGATAAAGAAAAAAGAAGAAAAGATGAAAATCACCAAAATAAAAAATGAAAGAACATTACAACCGATCTGACAGAAATAAAGATAATAATGATAAAATATTATGAATAATTGTATACCAATAAACTGGATAACCTAGATGAAATAGACAAATTCTTAGACGCACACAACCTAGTCAAAGAGACTCAAGAGGAAATAGAAAGTCTCAACAGACTCATAACAAGTAAAGATATCAAAAACCCCTCAGTAGAGCAAAGTCCTGGACCAGATAGCTTCACTGGGAAATTCTGCCAACTATTTAGAGACTTGACACCAATACTGCTTAAACTCTCCCAAAAGTTTCAAAAGAAAGGAATGTTCCCTAAATAGTTCTGTGAAGGAAACATAATCTCTCTTTTTTTAGTAAAAAAAAAAATGTTTAAGTCATAAATCTTTCATGACTTCTGAAACTTGACTTCTCATGCTGTTATGAAGTATTTAGTCTGGCTAGTCGGTGTACTGCCTAAGCCTTTTTTTTCTTTAAAGCTTTTACTGTGACTTGAGTGACTGAAGGCTTACAGGGCAGATCACCAGTTTTACATTCAGCAAGTCATTGCAATGATTACAATCCTCTCCATGCAACATCAGCTAACAGTATTTACCTCTAATACTTCTTTTTTTTTTTCAATGTATACATACCACATTGAAAATACATATTTGTTTAAATGTCCAAAGGGTACATTTTGCGAGCCAGCCTCCTACCTGCAGGCACACTGTCTTTCTTAATCTGTGGGCCAATGGTCCTTTGCTGCTCTGTCTCTCTATACCATTGCCTCTGCCACCATCTCTGTTGTTGCTGCTTTTCTGGTTAGGATCCCTTGCTGCTCTCATTCTCGTCCCCCTAGATGGTCCTAGGGTCCTCTGTTCCTGAAGTGACAAATTAACCATCCCCCCTTTTAGTTACATCTCTTCTACATTTACAGTTATGACAATTGCCATTAGTCCTGATAACAGTTACTCACTATTGAATCATAGAATCCTATTCCCCTCATCACCAGACCCATCTGGACAAGAGGAAAACTATTCAGTGGGAATTCTATCTTACTCACCTCGTTCTGACACTAAGCACCCTCATGAATGCTTGTAAACTAGCCACTTTAAGCCTTAATAACTCCCCAATTTTGATATCCGAAGTCTAAGTTGCCAGTCTCTATCAACCCAGTGTACTGAGAAGACACACTTGATCCTTGATTTGAAGAATCCTCACCTTTCAATAGGAATTTTGGGCAATTTCATCCATAAGCAAAGGTCCAGTTCATCAGGTTGTAGCAATTTATACTTGCTCCCTGTATCCAACTTCTTTACCTCCATCTAATCGAATTCTGGTCAGCAAGCCATCCAAACTAGGTCAAATGGCTACTATGTGCAAGTTTGGGAGTTCTCACACACCTCCCTCTTCTTCAGACCAGCTGGCCGCTTCACTCTTAACTCTAGCCCCCAGTGGCTAGGTCAGTGTTCTTGGGCTCTGGAGTTCACACATTGCCCTGACCTTCAACTCAGCCAGCCCTTCCTCTTCTCTCTCAAGGTCACTGGGTGCCTATGGAACATGGCCACTCTCAGCCCATGTCTTCATTACTTCATTTCCCATATTTCCATTCACAAGTTAAAAAGGACAGTCACCAGTCAGCATACAAGATTGTGTGTTCCCTTTGAATTCAATCTTAGAAACCTAAAGCCCTGATGGGCTGGCTTTTTCTTGCCTTGATGGCTCCAAGGCAAATAGTTTACTTGATATGGTCACAGCCAAACAGTCTGTTTACTTCCATTCTGTTGGTCTTTCTCCCAAGAAGTGTCTTCTGTTCTTCCAGCCATTCTGGGTTGGTCTGCAGGTCTTTTCAGTTGGGAATGTCCCACCTCCACAGGTTCTGGATGGGACTCAGGAGTCCACCTAAGGCCCCATACTCCACAAAGGCTTAACAAGAAATCTGTTTTCCTGGGCTCGTTCTAGGCCCCTTTTAGATAATCCAATTGATTATAGACTGAAGATGGGCTTATAAGCTTTCTGAAATCATATTTTCCAATATTCATGTCTATTTCACTTAAATGTCTTTATTTCAATAGTAGTCAGGGGAACACAATATCCACAAAACAGTCAAATACCTTAACATTATTTCCCCTCCTTTATCCATTCAGACTATGTCTTGATCCCTATATCATAGTGCCCTGTTGTTCCAAGGCTGTGCATATTTCACAATCTACCTCTATCTCATTTATCCCATGCATATTTCAGTCTTTCCTCGTCATCCTGTTCATCTACCCACCTCTCATTTCTTGTACACTGCTGCCCCCTCCTATTTATTGTCCTCCCCACCACCCAGTTATTATGCATCTATCCCCAAACCTGTGAGTTACTGTCCCCTTCCTCCCATCTTTGGTAACCATCAAAGAATTATTCTTTTAGTGTGGAGATCTTTTCTTAAGTTTCTACAA